ATCCGAGAGGTTTTCTGGAATTGTTGGGAGTTCTTTACTATTTCCAATCTTGAACATGGCGGCAACCTTCAGGCCAGAAAACAGGTGCAGAGAACATATTCCAATCATTAATTGTTGCAAGTTCTCATTCTATCAACAATATGCACTAGGTGACGGTAAAAGTACTACACTGCCACCTTCATCAGATACGCAACACACTAAATAAAAAAAGTAAATTTTACAGAAATCAGAGTTCAAATTACTGACCCCTTCATAATGGCTCCAAGGAAGCTTCGATAAGGCCATTTCCAAGACGGTGCATCCGAGACTCCATATATCAACAGCAAGGCTACATCCTTTTGAATTCCTTATCACCTAAACAAGCAGGAAAGAAACGCAATCATAGAACTGGAAAAAAAGCCATATAGTGTTACGGTCGTGGACAAAAGAAAAAATTTCCAACCTCAGGTGCCATCCAATAAGGACTTCCCTTAAATGATAATGGACAGGTTTGCCCAGTGATCTACAAAACAGAAAAATGCACATAAATACTAATACCATCATAGGATGAAAATTCTATTTGATGAAAAAGCAAAAAACAACCGAGAAATATTCCTAAAACGTCAATATTAAGATGTGTAATAGACTTGAAAATTAGAGTTCAATAAGCTAAGGTGACAGGAATAGCAAATAAAGTAAAAATCTTAGGTATTATGGAGTCACGTGGTGCTAATTTTAAAGTCAAAACAGCAGTTGTATCTTCTCAATTAAATATGAACAGCCATTTTCACTTGTTGATTTTCCTTATTACAGTCCTCTTTAGGATACACATTATCTGATAACAAGAAAGGCTTATCGATCTGTGTTGCTTCCATTTTTCCTCGCATTTGGAAATTTGTTGGCAGCGCCCATTACGTAGTTCTTCTGGTAAGCCCTTTGAATGGATTGTTCATCTCTTGACAATTAATAGCTACTGAAGGAAGTTCAAAGAGAAGGTCACACTTACATGCTTTGCCATGCCAAAGTCAGCCAACTTGACACGACCAGTTAAATCCACGAGGATATTAGCCCCCTTAATATTCCTGCAGTAAATAAACAGCATAAGTGCCAGATGACGTGTTTAGAAATGAAGTAAGGTTAACAATCATGTTAGAACCTGAAAACTTATCCACATAAAGGAAATCAAATTTACCTATGCACAGTATTTTTGCTGTGCAAATATGCAAGCCCCGACAAAATTTGTTGAGTATAACTTCGGATAGCCGATTCTCCCAATTTTCCATAATCTTGTAGAAGCTTATGGATGGAACCACCAGAGACATATTCCAAATAGATATATAATTTATCATCCACCTAATCAAGCAAAATAATTTCAGAAGCAGTGGAAAGACAAGGAAAATAACTTCACGCCTATTTAGCAGCCAGGTTCACTTTACACGAAGAGAGTTATGACCAACGTTGTCAACATGGTAGTTCATATAGATATCAGTTAATGGTGTATTTCCATGAATTTCATAATAAATCAAAGAACTGTGCCTACTAAGTCAACTGCAAGTACTTTCTGTAAGCAAATATGGAATAAGAAATTTGTTGACTCAAATTTGAGATTTAAAGTTTTACATATGAAGCTGCATCATTATACGAGGGGTGACGAGGTATGCAAGAATACAACTGACCATTTCATATCCATAATACTGGGCAATATTTGGATGCCTTAAAGGACTCAATAATGTAATCTCCTGTAAGAAACAGAAATGAATGTTATAGGCATGAATGGATAAAACTGACGTGAAAATTGCAATCAATAAAAATCTTTCCATGTATCAAATGGCTTTAAAACTCACTTGTCCCAACTGCTTTGCACTTTCCTTCGACTTCGCATCATCTGAGAATAATGTTACCTCCTTCATAGCACACATTTCGCCAGTTTCACTAAAGCATCAGAAGGCCAAATGTGTAATATAAAAATCAGTTATCAACTTCAGGAAATTAATATATTAAAAAACTAACACATAGATACAAAATAAATATGTTAAATAATTTAATAAATGGTACAGATGGATTGAGAATTCCAAAGACCTGTTATAGGAACAAAAACCTTCCATCTAAACGTATGGAAACACAAATGATGAATTTTCCATAACATATAAAAATCAAGGAAAGTGGCACGCACTAAACTGATTCCCTCACCTATTAAAACCAACATAAACATGCCCAAATGTGCCTCTACTGAGCAATTTTCCCTTTTTCCAACATGAGCCAGAGCTTGTAAAAGTTTCCACTCGTCCAGGACTACACGGTACAGAAGGTGATGTTGCAGCTGAATTCGAATGAGAGAACATTGAGAAATTGGAACTTGTTAAAGAAGGAAGGGGCAGGCGGTAACTTTGTTGTTTTGTGTCATCCGGCCAACCAGTCTGCGAATCAGTGTGTCCCTTGCCAGCTCTTGGATGAAGTGGTGTAACAGCACCACTGTGAATTCTGGAACTAGGGCCAGGGCTTGTCATTCTCGGACTAGGATNTTGGATGAAGTGGTGTAACAGCACCACTGTGAATTCTGGAACTAGGGCCAGGGCTTGTCATTCTCGGACTAGGATTTGGTGAACATTCTGGGCTTTCTCTACTGGGTTGCCAAAATACTTGCCCTGACATATCTCCTCCCATTGAATTGTGCCCAGAGGTCTGACCTGAGCCTGGACTGGAGCAAGGACCAGAACCAAGAAATAGAAGATCTGGATAATGCTTTCCAGTAGTAAAAGCAGAACTTGTAACTTGCTCATAACGGGAAGATCTCATCGGGCTTCTCGAGGGACTTGACATTGAGCTATCTGGAGCACTGAAAAGGGCACCATGATGGGGGACTCGTAGATTTGGAACTCGACTGTTCAGCTGTCTTCTCGTAGAGGTGAAGAGGAGATATTTTTATTGGACGAGAGATTCACTGCAACAGGTGACTCGTTTGAGATTACTGGTGCAACAGCAGACTGATCCTTCACAAAAGTGCATAAGGAAAAAAAAGCAGGGAAAAGGAATCATGAGGTTAGTAAGGTGAGGGAAAGATTATACAGCCATAATCAAAATATGACTGAGAACAAACTACCTACAGTTCTTTGAATTTGGGAACTCGACTCACCTTGAAGGGCTGCCTGCAGCAGTTCGACTCCCAATTTCATAGTCAGATGCCAGCGGACTACACTGATGTGAGTCAGCTGGATCATCACTTTCGTTGGAGCATTCGCTAGAGGTTGAAGCAACAGCTACTTCACCATCTAAGTCAGTACGGCCCAGCCTGTATCACATGCATGCAGGTCTTGGGAGAGATCGAAACAACGATGGTTTGGAGAGCCTTTTTGAGTTCGGTTTTGCCACATCAGCCATTCCAGAATCTGTATTCCTTACATTTGCAGGGAGCAGATCTGGCGTGGGAAGTGGTTGGGCCTGAGACCTTTCTGGAAAACTTTGACATCTTGCAACGTGCTTGGAAGGCGATGTTGACCTTGACTCAACTCGTGACTGAGACCCTTTCTCTGAAACTGCGTCACTAGAATGTCTTCTAGATCCCCCTGATCTGTTGGAAGATTTACTTTCAGGACTCCTAAACTTCCTATTCAACGTGTCAATAAAACTCTCTTTGGATGTTTTCCTTTTTGCATCCTTTGAAGATGACTTCCCCCACCATGGAGGCATCTTTTCTGAAATTTTAGATCACAAGTAAGAGACTATTTCAATAGTGAAAACAAGATTGAAGTAAAATTGCTGCAAAAGAAGTATGCACCCCACTTCCTTGAAGCAATTAATAAATCTTTTACCACCGATCTGCCGATAACTTATGTTTCTGTCAGCGAGAGACTGGAGTTCAAAATTCCATCTTGAATGATTCCACTTATCAAAAAAATTACGTGTAATATTTTTTGCCACCATAAAAGACTGGGAAGATACATTCAAATTCACCTGCTCTAAGGAAGACCCTTACTTAATTAATTAATTTATTTTTTTCCTTTTTTGAGGGGATAGTGGTAAAACTTGGTAGCCAAAATTATGCATTGTTACCCACCATGATTCCGTCTATTTATCTTGCCCTATTTGAATAGATTCACCATTAATTCCATTACTCCTGAATCATGACCATGTAACATTCAGGAACTTCAACTCCACCAAAATCAAAAGAATCGAGTTAAAAACAGAAAACAAAATAAATAAATAATTCCACCTTTTCAAAGATTATAACCAGAGTTGATTTATTTTCTTGCAATTTATTTTATTCCTAAATTATCTACTAATAGTATTGATATATCATCAATTAATTAAAATATCAGACTTATATCTCAACTATTCGATAAACGCAGCTTTTCACAATAGATCTAAACGTAATTGGTAAAAAATTCAGACTTACCTCAAGTTCTCAACTAATCACATCTCACAAGCAAACAGCGCATCACTCACTTTTCAGATTCGAAGAAAATGGGGCCTTTGATACATACTGATCCTCCACCCCCAAATGCTGAAAAACCAGAAATCCAAGCAAGCAAGAGCTGATGCTCGATTGAAGAAATTGAATGGAAAATCTTCAGCAAGATCGCGCAGAGAGAGAGAGAGAGTGTGTGTGTGGAGTGAGAGCAGGCGAAAGACAGAGGAGAGAGAGGGGCGAAGAATGACTTTGCTAAATGTACATCAAATTTTAATAACA